TACGTTAGGCAAATCAGATGTGGTGTCTGCATCTTCCCCTGACTTCTCTCGTTTAAACTGTTTAAAGCATGTGGCACCACAATGTTTCCTTCATGCAGAAAAAAAGCAGACTATATTTTCTGGAAACCAAACCCAACAGCACATGATCGGAGTAAAGCATCTCCAAAGGAAAAGGTGAACAAACTTGTGATTTGGCCTCAGAGCCTCTCTTCTGTCTCAAAGTCAAGGGTGGTGGTGGTAAACATAACACCTCAAGGAACTCCCAGTACCAGACCATGGTCCTAAGAGCTCAGGCCCGTGGAGCAGCCTGCCAGGAGCTTGGGCCGGTTGCAAATGAAAGGTGGAACCTGCCATTGTGCTGCTAGGAACAGAACTGCAATGTGCTCAGAGAAGTCTTCAAACTGTGGTCTGAAAAAAAAAAACGCTGACCCCCTATGAACAAACAAAACGAAACATCAGGCTCTTTGTTACTAGGTGGTGCCTGGCATGTGGAAGATGATGTATGATTAGCGACAACATGGTGAGTCTGAAGTGACAAAGGGTTTTTAACCCCAAACATAATCTGGGGGAATTTCCTTGTTGAGACAGACACAGACAGAAACAAGCTAATGTGGTACAGAAAGATCCACTAATAACCCAGCCTCTCCACCCTCCTACTAATGACCAACATGGAGGGCGGTCTTTGCTCATGGAGGAAGGAGTTTCTTCCCAGGTGTGAGGTCTAAAACTGGGGTCTCCCAGGTGGAGAGGGGCCCAAAGCTGACACCATAGCCTCATGGTGGGGACTCAGGAGTGGAGTTCCACTTGTGCTCCTTGGCTGTGAAGCACTTGGTGTGACAGAGGACTGATACTTTTTCAGAGCTGTGTGGAAGGACTGTAGTGAGGGGACGGTTTTCAGGAGGCCCTGTGGTCCTCACAGGAAGAAGAAATTCTGGGTTGCGGTGCAAACTTGGCCAGACAGGCTGAGGGATATTAGGCAGGTCAAGCTCTCAGCTTCTTCTTTTTTTTTTTTTTTTTTAATTTTTTAATAATTTATTTAACAGATCACAAGTAGGCTGAGAGGCAGGTGTGGGGTGCGGGGGGAAGCAGGCTCCCCGCTGAGCAGAGAGCCTGATGCAGGGCTCAATCCCAGAACCCTGAGACCATGACCTGAGCGGAAGGCAGAGGCCTAACCCACTGAGTCACCCAGGCACCCCTCTCAGCTTGTTTCTCAATGAATGGGTGGGAAGAGATGCTCCCTTTCTCTCTGAGACCCTTGGTGGAGAAAAGGTGAGTCCTGCCTGTTTCATCTATGCTGGCTTCCAACACAGCTCTAAGCAGGGAGGTCCAAAGTCCAGTCTGTTGGACCAGCAAGGGTCAAGACAACACTGGATTCTAGAGTCCTTTTTGAAAAGCAAAGGCTGTATAAGAATGACACAGGATTTCACCTTGACTGAGGAAGAGCTGCAGAACCCAAGTACGAAATGAACACACTGTTTGCTGTCTTCAGTACTATCATGCATGGCTGTCTGCTACCATTTATGCTTCTGTATGCATCAGACATACCCAGGGCATAACTGGAGGGTCAGAGTTGCACGTCCACCACTTTTTCTTCTTTAGCATAGTGCGAATGTAGACATATGTGGGGGAACTGGATCTCAAAAGTTACGTTAAGCGTAACTGTTCAGAGTACCTTGAAGGGGCTAATTCCTGAGAAATGTTATTATGTGGGGATTTACATTTTTCTTAAAAAGGAAAGATCTTAAGCAAATATCAGGCTTTTCTCTTTTAAGTAATAGTGTGGCTTACCTGAAGCTTAAACTAACTGCCAGCTGTGATTTAGAGGGCGGGGAGGCACACTCCTGAGGCAGGCGGCACAGTGCAGGCCCCAGGCACTGTTGTGGGTCTCCCATAAACACACACTCAGGATTGGCAGTGCCCAGAGACTGCTGCCATGGGTCATGAAAATGCGGAGCCTATTTGTGAAAATATCCTGGGGGAGTCTTTAGCTCCACTAAGGCCAATCCACATGCAGAGTAAAAGATTATCTTCTATGTATATAATATAAAAAGTAGATCTTTATGTATCTAACCACTTGAAAAATTAGAAGAAAACACCTAGAAAAGTGACTACTTTTCTATGGTATAGGTTCCATTGCAAGGTGATGAAGCTAATAATGAGAATGTCATGGGTTAGTTAGAATCTTCTCTTGGTTTATGGATACTGCTGGTAGCTAAATTTGTTTTCCTTTTGAATCTCAAAAAATTCCTTAATAAACTCCAAAATGTATGCTTAAAAAGTGCATTTTACAGGACAGAGTGGTTCGGCAAGTCTTTCATTGTCTGATCCAGGACAAATGTCACTTTCTCGGGGTGGGGGGTGCCTTCCCTGGCCACCTCAGCCAAAGTTGCCTTCCCCCACCATCTTATTACCCTGTCATTTTCCCCCTTAGCACTGATCATTCTCAATGTTTTCTGTTTCTTATTCACTCAAATACCTATTGAAGGATTAAATCTTCACATTCACTGTCCAACACCCACTCCATACTTACCACTAAGGAGGTACAATCTTAACACCTACATCCCAGATTTATTGGGGGGAGACACTTTGTTCATATGCCTGAGGACAGGGAGCTGGATAGGGCCCTTAAAGTGAACCACTGATCAAGTTAGTGTGGTTATGAGAGAAACAGCTTTGGCAGCTCCCTCCCTTCCTTTGTAACCCTACCCCCAAGAACACCCACCGCCACTGTATCCCCAGGGCCCAGGTTACATCTATACATGGAGCAACTGCGCTGTCTCCATGACCCAAGTAACCAAAAGAGTTGTGGTTTTAGCAACAGCCCAGTGACAGATGTCTGCAAGTTTGTGAAACATCCCCATCTTAACGATCTGATAAGAGCTATTTTACATTTGAGGACTGACCCTGGCTTTATTTTTCAAATATGGTAGGGTGTGGTTACAACTGCAAATTCTGCCAGTGAGCGGAGTTCTCCTCTTTCCTCCTGCTACAATGGCCAAAACTCCCACCACTACTACAAAGAAGTAAATTGTGGGAAACCAAACATGTGGTCATCATTTGTCACGTTGTCCAAGGCCAGCGTCAGCACCCTCTTTCCTGCCTGCTCCATAGCGCCCTCTGTGGTCATAAGGCACAATTCACATCAGCACTTACTAGAGCTGTTCTCATGCCCTTGTCAGCGCGAAAGGATGAAGTAGATGAGACAGATTCATGGGGTGGGGGGTAGGGGAGCTTGGGCAGGTGCCTGGGGGCCGGAAGCACTGCCATGGACTCTGGCAGTGTTGCCCTCCCTGTGTGCGGGCCAGCTGGGGCAGGTCTGCTGCCCCCCTGCGTAAGCGCTAAAGGGAGCATGAATATACTGACCGGATGACATGACGCACTTCAAAGGGTCACAGCTGAACAGACCCTCGAGGAGGAAAAAGGCCTCTCGAACTCCCCGAAAAGCAGAGTGGGATGAGCACCTTCTGGGAGCAGTGTCTGTATGTGCAGGTAACCCCAAGGGCTACGCCTATGAAGAATCCTGGATGTTGTGACCCTAATTTCCTAACATTTTGTTACTTTGACTTCTATATGCAATTGTGACTGAGTGTTGAAGTTTTAAAAAAATCTCTTTAGGGGAGATACAGAAGAATAAAAGAATTTATCTTTCTAAACATCTCAACTTAGTTTTCTGCTCAGGTAAGGCTTTATACCAGCGACATGTACTGGTGACCACAGTGACTCCAACAGATGTCCTCAGCAGGAAGCCAAATACATTGCTGAGGGACGGAGACCATTTCCCACCAAATACCACACGCTCATGCTGAGAGGGCCAGTGACGGGGCACCAGTTACGTTAGGAGTCTTTGGTTGCTTTTAAAAAAACAAACCTGTGTTCTATCAGTTTACAACACTATAACAGCAAAGAGAGAGAGAGAGAGAGAGAGAGAGAGAGAGAGAGAATGGAGAAGGGGGTGGTGTCCCAAGAGCTCCAGCAAGGACTCTGGTATTTGGTGGAGGAATGGTTATGGTTAATGTATCTGCACAAATGTTGAAGTTCAGGTCTTGGAACCTGTATAAAATATTCTGAAGACTAAAGAGCTAGCGGTGGCTCCCCCTCAAGTATAGGGATGTGGGTGGTTAAGGTTGGAGTTAGTAAAGGAGGTGGCAGTTTGGCAGGAAACTCAGTTTTACTCAGCTGTTAGCTGATGATCTTCAAGTCAGAAATGTCTTGGAAGCGCTCAGAGCCCCACTGCAGCCTCTGCGGTCCTCCGGGCTCCAGCCATCCACCCAGCCTCGGAGCTGTGCCCCAGCACTCAGGCAGAGATGGAATTCTCTAAGAACTGCCTCCACCTCCCTGCCCCCTTGACCACTCCAAGTCTGCACTATGGCTTTTTTTCTGACAGAATGAGTGCTGTCTCAAAGGAACTTAAAGTTGTGTGTTCTCGTGTATTAGTTTTCACGGCCTTAGTAAAAATTTTAGGTTAGCCATATCTTTCACCTCCGGCTCACTGGAAGCAGAGTGGAAAAGATATCAGAAGGCATCCGTTCTTCCCCCATGGATTTAGAAAAGCACCAATCTGGGACAAGCCTGTGCTGGGCCCAAAGGTGCTAGATTAATCTAGAGGCAAATCCAAATGATTCGAGTCAAAGGGTTATTTTCCATTATTATTTGCTCCTTCTAAAGGCCTTACTGTGAAATTAGATTGGGGTTTGGCCACGCTGGCAGGTATCCCCATGCTCCCTTGTTCGGAGGAGCAGGAACTGTGACTACACCAGTGTAGTGTTCCCAGTGGCATCTTTGGCTATGGAACAACATACTGTTTACTGCACAATAGGAAACAGATCCAAGCGTTTGGAGTGATCAATATTTTTCCGTGTTTCTGTGAAACACTGAATAGCAGGTTAGTTTGAAATGCAATTTAGCCAGGAATAAGCCAAATACGGTAATTTCGATAAACGAAAATGTACAAAAGGTGACATGTACAGGAAAACATTGCTGTCCATATTCTTGAAGTAGACTTAAGACAAAAGTAATGACATTTGGTTCATTTTCACAAATTGCACACTGAGTAAAATCATACAAGCACTGTAGGGAACTCTAAGCAAGCAGTTCAGTCACAGGAATTTGTTTCTCGGTTCTGTTTTAAATGAAAAAGCTATATGAAATGCATAGCTTTGATTAAAACTACAGATACCATTTCCTTCTCTGTAAAACTCCAGATTTCAAATGCTGGCAAAGGCAGTGCTGGCAAAGTATTTAATGCACGTGGAAACGCTATTCTATTTTGGCTTCCAGAAGTAGCCCTAGAAAATTCTATGCACCAACGCATTGGCTAATAATGATCGTTTCAGTTTTACTATAAATTATTCTAAATGTCGCTTAAGTACTTAAGAATTAGCGCTTGCTCCTTTCTAGAAGCTGTCTAAGGCAGCTGATGCACCAAGCACCTCAACTAGACTTCCAACTAGTTCAGCAGTTCAATCTATACTCCTTAGACCACAAGGATTGCTGTCTACACCCCTCACTGTACAACTCATCCTCACTGGATCCTCTCACGGTCACTTCTGCTTGTAAAAAGCAGCCCAGTCGAGGAAGAGAGACATGACAAACGTGATGTCACGGGCTATTCGCTACAGCAATCTTGATTCTAACGAGGGTTATGTGGGTGTGGGGGAACACAAGGATCCCAACTCGTGGAAGATATATGAGCTTCATTCATGCTGCCAATTCTTTAGGGACTGTTCTATCACTTCAGAAAACCGCTTTGTTTGCGGTGTGATCCATTGCTCTGTCGTTCAGAGTTTTCATTCATGCTATGTTAACTTTCATCTCAATCATCTCAGCCTTCAGATAATTTGCTTATTGTGTTTCCCTAGTTTTCACTGAACACACAGTGCAACAAAGGCAAAGACTGAAGCAATCATTTCAAAAACAAGAGCTCACACTAAAAACACACATGAGCATCAAATATTAAAATGTGGGTTTTCTCCTGTCTTTATTCTGGGGAGGAGGAATCCTCCTCGTCATCTTCCTCGTCTTCGTCGTTGAATGAACAGGGGGTCTCGCCTCGTGACTCAGAGCAGTGAGAGGCCGCACTGCTGGACTGGTGACTGTTTGGGGCAAGGAACTGCCCAGTTGCTAAGGCCACTTCAGCATCCAAGCACAACCCTTGGTTTACACTAGCAAATAATTAAAAACACACAAGCTCATTAACGTGGTGAATGTTTTAAGCTTTGTAAAATGTAGGACTAAAAACATGGGAGAGGAGGTGCCACTGGGGCACTCTGCCCAAACCCGCTCCAGAAAGACCTGTGCTGGCAGTGACACCTGGCTCTTCCCATGGAGGTGCTCAGGGCTTCACCGCTTCTCTTTCTAACCCAGAAAAAATACGTACCTCGATTGTGACAAGGTGGCACCAGTGGTCAGGTCTAAATTTGAAACTGATTGAGTAGAGTTCAAAAGTAGTCCCTGATTTAACCAGGAAGGTCCTGTGGAGATATCTGTAGGGAGAAACAGAAACAGAAGATGTCGGTTCACTGCAAGTTGAAGGAAGCACGGATGAGGAAGGGCACGAGCCTGATCTAAATTACAGCTGGGTGAGGGGCATCTGAGGGGCTCAGTCGGTGAAGCGGCTGCCTTTGGCTCAGGTTGTGATCACAGGGTCCTGGGACGGAGCCCTGCATCAGGCTCTCTGTTCAGCGGAAGCCTGCTGCCCCCTCCCTCCGCTGCCCCCTCCCTCCACTGCCCCCCAGCTTGTGTGCTCTCTGTGTGCACTCTCTCAAATAAATAAATAAATAAATAGCTTAAAAAAAATCACAGCTAGGTAAATCTCCTGCTCTGGGGATAATCCACATTTCTTCAGCTTGGAAAAAGGGAATCTCTAGGACATAAGAATAGGAAAAAAAATATGGGAAGGCAGACTACAGTGAGGAAGAATTCTAATTAAACCAATCACAGACTCCCACTCTTTTTTCTTAATTAAGATCTTGAGAGACAGCTGAGAGTCCAGTGATTGCTACACTATTCTTGGACACCTGCTGTCCTCACCACCAAAGATTCTGACTGGTGTTAAAAGCTAAAGCCAGGGGGCACCTGGGTGGCTCAGTGGGTTAAGGCCTCTGCCTTCGGCTCAGGTCATGATCCCAGGGTCCTGGGATCGAGCCCCACATCGGGCTCTCTGCTCTGCGGGGAGCCTACTTCCTCCTCTCTTCTCTCTCTGCCTGCCTCTCTGCCTACTTGTAATCTCTGTCTGTCGAATAAATAAATAAAATCTTTATTAAAAAAAAAAAAAAAGCTAAAGCCAGGAGTGGGTAAAAAGAAAGTGAAATCAGAAACAGGTAAGGACAGGGGTGCCTGAGTGGGTCACTCAGTTAAGCATCTGACTGACTTGATTTCAGTTTAGGCTGTGATCTCAGGGTTGAGATGGAGCCCTGCCCTTTAGGCTCCATGCTGGGCATGGTGCCTGCTTTGGTTTCTCTCTCTCCCTCTCCCCCTCCCCACCTTCTGGGGGAAAAAAAAAAGACAAGAAACAGGTAAGGAGGTTAGACACATTTTTACTAAAACTCCCACTGCACCATCTTTTCATGTGCCCCCTAAAGAACTCAGTGCTATTACTCATCAAAGATACATTCTTTTCCCTGGTATCCTTTGCTCTGTAACTCAAACCAACCCTTATTTTATTTTATTTTATTTTATTTTTTTTAAGATTTTTATTTATTTGTCAGAGAGAGAGAGTACACACAAGCAGGCAGAGAGGCAGGCAGAGAGAGAGGAGGAAGCAGGCTCCCTGCCGAGCAAGGAGCCTGATGCGGGACTCGATCCCAGAACCCCAGGATCATGACCTGAGCCGAAGGCAGCGGCTTAGCCAACTGAGCCACCCAGGCGTCCCCCAACCCTTATTTTAAAAGGTCATATGCAGTCACATTTCTAATGAAGGTGAGACAGGGCATTACTGTTTTAGTCTGCATAAAATATTTTGGGCGTATAACCTTGTAATCTTATTTTCTATGCATATATCATATTTCTCCAATCATAACCCTGATAAATTATTATAATTTTATTAGTTTCATACTGGTCTCATTGTCTAGAATTTAGCTCAAAGAAGACAGTGAGTGGAACATGTAAGATTTAAATGTTACTGAATGAATGAGTATAGTCTCTTTCACATTAAGTTTACAAAAGAGGTGAAAGAAATGATAGAAATGTATTCCTAAAAAGAAATTCTTTGACTTACATTACAAAATAAGACCATATACATACTCAGAAAGTGCAATTTAGTAATGAGCCTTTATTACAGCTAATCAAAATAGTTTTGTAATTACTGTGCCAAAAAAAAGGAACCCCAAAAAACCCCCAGAACTATATGTACTAGGATTAAACACTCTGCTATTGGTACTGTCTGACCAAGTGAGAAGCTTCCTATGTAGAAAAAAAGGAAACGAAATGATTTCATTAATTTTAGAATGGCCTTGTGAACCCTTTTTTTATAGGCTGGCTAAGACAGCTGCGGAAAAAAAGAACTTCAATTCTAAGAAGAATAGCAGACTTTAACTACATTAAATAAGAACAAGCCTGTGCAAGATGAAATTAAAGCCAGAATCCTGTGGTGAATATTAATTAGTATATATGGAAACTTTCTGTCAGAACACAGCTATTTACTTGTTTGTGAGCGTGACACAGTAAATTTTCCTTTTCACAATGGCTTTGAAAAGCCTACATTTCTTTCGCATTATCATAAGATCCACACAATAGTTCTCACAATCTAACTCGAGAGCCATTCTGTCCCTTTGCACACTAAAGGCACAAATTTCTTCTTTTAAAGTAACCAGAAAGTCTATGTCCCAGGCTGCAAATGAGGTCACAAAGAGATCAAAACCATAGAGCCTGCCTGATTGCCCTGAGCCTTTTCACTGAGAATAAGCTAAAATAAAGTTCTGGTGATTTATTGAGTAAGCCCTTTATTCAGCCCCTGCTGGACTGCCACTATGCCTGCGCTAAGAAAACAGAGGGCCTGCTCGGGGACAGAGTGGGAAGAAGGGAGCGTGGGGGGGCGAAGAGAGGGGGCAAGCTGGCTAAAGGACAAGAAGGGGCCACACCTGCAGCAGGTGGACGGTGCCAGTTTAAGAACCAAATCCAACAGAAACCAAATCTTAATTAACAAACTTGTGTTTTGACCAGAGGGCCAAAACCATAGAGCAAAATAAAATAAGGACGAGGGGCACCTGGCTGGCTCACTGGCAGAACATGAAACTTGATCTCTGGGTTGTAGTCCCCAAGGTGGGTGTAGAGATTACTTAAAAAAAAAAAAAAAAAAAAAAAAAAATCTTAAAAAAAAAAAAAACTACCTCTTTGCTCATATTTGATTTATTACACCTTAGAACTAATAGTACAGTGCCTTCAGAAAGTGATGTGAAATTCTAGGTGGTGATATTTATAAATCAAGGAAACTGGTAAAAGCAAAGGCAAAAAGCATTATTTATGCCTCCAAATTATATGTACAGAATATACATAGTCTTGGGAAATGAGACAATCATAAAGATTTCTGAATCAGAAAAAAAAAAATCTGAATTATACAACATGCAAAACATATTGTCTTTGTTTTCAAGTATACTCAGTATATTCTTTTTTTTTTTTTTTTTTAAGATTTTATTTATTTATTTGACAGAGAGGCCACAAGTAGACAGAGAGGCAGGCGGAGAGAGGAGGGAGCAGGCTCCCTGCTGAGCAGAGAGCCCGACGAGGGACTCGATCCCAGGGCCCTGAGATCATGACCCCAGCCGAAGGCAGCGGCTTAACCCGCTGAGCCACCCAGGCGCCCTACTCAGTATATTCTTAAAAATCATAATAAAAAGACAACCTGATGCAAAAATGTGCAAAGGATCTGAATAGGTATCTCTGCAAGGAAGATCTACAAGTGACCAATAAGCACACAAAAAGACGCTTAGCACACTAGTCATTAGGAAAATGCAAAATAAAACCACAGTAAAATACTACCTCGCATCTACAAGAATAGGTTATAATAAAAAGGATGGACAGTAATAATTACTGAGAAGGATGTGGACAACCCAGAACCCTCATACACTTCTGGTAGGATTGTAAAATGGTACAAATGCTTTTGGAGAATAGTTGGGCAGTTGCTCAAAATGTGAAATATAGAGTTGCCATTTGACCAAGAAATTGCACTACTAGGTATACAACCGGAAGTGACAACTCAGGATCACACGGAAACATGTACAAGAATGTTTATAGCAGCATCATTCGTAATAGCCCCGAAGTAGAAACAATCCAAACGTCTACCAACTAATGAATGGGTAGATGAAATGTGCTATTATTCACATGATGGCAATAAAAAGGGATGAAGTACCGACGCTACGGCATGGATGAACCTTGAAAACCTCATGCTAAGTGAAAGACGTCTGTCACAAAGGCTGCTAGTGCACGATTCCATCTACAGGAAATGTCCGGAATGGACAAATCCAGTGACAAAGCAGACTACTGCTTGCCTAGGGCTGGGAGGAATGGGAGGAGTGACTGCTAATGTGTATGGGGTTTCTTTCTGAAATGATAAAAATAAAAATGTAGAATTAGTGATGATTGCACAACCTTATGAATATACTAAGTCCCACTGAAGTGTACATACCATAAAATGGTGAATTTTATGGTATGTGAATGAAATCTTAATTAAAAAAAATGAGGATGCCATTTCACATCCACCTGATTTGGGAGAAATAGATTTATTTCCATCCTGCAGGTGAGAATGTAACTTGTGAAATCAAATTAAAAAGCTCTGGCTTTATCATAAGTGAAGCTGCAGCCGCCCCCACCCGGGACCCATCTGTCTCATGGCACACACCGGCATGTGAGGCACTACGGTATCATCACAGAAATGTTCAAAGTAGCACTGTTTTTCATATTAAGAAACTGAAAACAAAACTCAAAGGTTCATCATCAGTAAAATGAATAAATAGTGATATAATCATATAATGGAGTTCTATACAGTGGTAAAAATGTATGAATTACAGCTACATTAAATCATGTGGATGAATGAAAAGATTATGTTGAGTGGAAAAAACCATTATCACTAAAGAATGTATCACTAGGAGTCCATTTATATAAAGGTCAGCAATAAGTAAAATGAAACAAGAAACTGTTCCCAGTTTACTATATTTGTGTTTGTATCGCTAAAGAAAAGCAAGCAATGATAAGAAATTCAAGGGAATAGTCACATTTAAAGGGGACAGAATGGGAAAGCATTCGTTAACATACCTGTGATATAACCTTCTAAGGCCTTTGGCACCAGCGATTTAGCAAGTTTCAGATCCTCCAGAGAGCATTTGCCTGACTCCAGGCCAAAGGACATTCCCATCCGCTTCAGTACTTCTATGTCATCATGGATCTCAAAGGTGTTGTCAAAATTAAAAAGATATTCAAACCTGCATCAGAAAACAAAAGTTAGTACGGGACTTCAGTGGGATGGGGAGGGCTGCGTAGTGTGGTACTCTGTACATTACATAAAAGAATGAGGGCCTACGGTTCAGCTGTAGTACTGGAAACAGCTACTGTCATTCCGCTGTGTTCAGGGGAATGACATCTCAAATAAGCCACTTTCCCAATTAAAACAGTTTTCCTATGACAGACAATAGGAGTCCATAAACTTCAGCCCTCATTAAGCTGTTACAAACAGGGGACAACTTTGGTGTAAAGCCAATACTTTTCAAGCTTTGTCACAAAAGTCAAATTATTAAGAAAGCCTTTTCAGTTTAATATATGACATCCCTACTCTGAGTTGGCCTGTTAGGTTTGAGGAAAAAAAACCCATTTTGGATGCTTGCTTAATGTTCCTGAATCAAGTGTTAACTAAAGCATACTTTAGATAAGCAATAAATGCATGACTTTTCACAAATGAACCAAAACTCAAATCCTGTCTTAAGAGCCTAAGAAGTGAAACAACTTAAGGAAAAAGTGCCACATAAATATATAGAACATTTCCAAATGTTCTTGAAAAATACCAAATCAGGGATGTCTGAGTGGTTCAGTCAGTTAAGTGGCTGCCTTCAGCTCAGGTTATGATCCCAGGGTCCTGGGATGGAGTCCAGCATCTGGCCCTTTGCTCAGCAGGGAGTCTGCTTCTCCTTCTATCTGCCGCTCCCCCTGCTTGTGCTCTCTCTCTCTCTAGCAAATAAAGAAAACCTCAAAAAAGAAAAGTACCAAATCAGGATGCCCAGTACACCCCAAAAAAGGTGAATATAGGGGCGCCTGGGTGGCTTAGTCATTAAGCATATGCCTTTGGCTCAGGTCATGATCCCAAGGTCCTGGGCTCGAGCTCTGCATCGGGCTCCCTGCTCAGTGGGGAGCCATCTTCTCCTTCTCCTTCTGCCTGCCACACTGCCTACTTGTGCTCTCTCTCTCTGCCAAATAAATAAAATCTGAAGAAAGAAAAAAAAAAAAGTAAATATAGGAAAGCATAGTCTTTTTGACTCCTAGGCTAGGCCCTGGGAACCTTCATACCCACAGGCCTCAGCCCTATGGGGACGGAGTGCAGTGAATTTTTTGGCACGGTGGTGCGTTTGTTTACGTTGTCATGAAATTCTTACTAAAGTCGTGAGAAGGTAAAATTATTCATGCTAGATCTTATATCAGGGTAAAGATTATAATTAAAGTGAAATGCCAAGTTTAAATAATCTGAAGTATATAAATCTGAATAAAGGATATTAACAAATTTTCAGGAAAAAAAAATGCCGGTCACAGGGATGATTCCTGGCATATGTTAAAAGCAGACGGTTCTGTAAATTTAATCCCCATTGTGAAAAAGCCTCCAGGCTAATTAAGGGGAAAGACTGCATCACCAAAGTAACTGAAAGACAAGGCTTTAGGACCTACCTTGCGACAAGCTTCTACAAGCTGCTCAAAGCCTCCTTCCCTTCACTCAGAGGGCCAGGAAAGGGCATGAGTCAGTAAACCACTGAGGGAAGGAAACCTCACCAGGCCCCAGCCTGGGATGAACAGAATCCATAATTCCCTTAGGTCAATGGTTCCCAGATTCTCTTGCTACTCTTTTTTAGACTTAGAACACTAAGTGATGAAGAGAATTTAATAATGCCTTAGAAAACAAGAGGCTAACTGGAGAGAGAAACTAGAATTCTAAGTTTGTTTCTCCTGAAAGTATGTTAAAAATTCTATAGGATTCTCAGTTTTATGAGAATATATATTAACAGTCCCTACAGATGTAGGTTTTTGAGAAGATTTTGCAACTGTGTGAATAATAATACAGACACATACCATTACTGACCACAGGGCTGGGTCCTTTAAGAACTGATCTATAACTTTTGAAAACCAGCAAGTTAAATACTGTAATTCTCACTTTTGTAGGAGGAAGCAACCAGATCTCAGAAAGGTTAAGACACTATGTTGCTAGCAGACAGAATGAAAAATGGATCTCTGACTTCGTAATATTTTTCCTTGTGTCTATAGTCTTAATTATCAAACACTTTTGAAATCCCTGCTCACTGTTTTTCTTTTGGCACCTTCTTATTTAAGTGACCCAGAATCTCTGTATGCAATCAAGATAAACAGGGGGAGCAACAGGGCCTGAGACAACAGTGGGAAAAACAAGGGAAGGCAAAGCCCAAGGGCAATGCTGTAGTTCCAAGGAGACCAGAAGTCCTAGTCTTCCGGACAGGCTTGGATTATGCCTGTGGGACTGATGTAATTACTGGGCCTCTTTCGCTTTCAAATGAATCCCAATTTGGTCAATAGATTATATGCTGACTCCTTGTAACAGCCACTATATTTATAAAGTGCTTGCCTTAGGTCAGACCATTTAAAGACATCATGGTATTTAAGCCTCACAAGGCTAGGATGTGATAGAGGCCTTGGAATCATCCCCTTTTGTTCTTTAGAAAACTGCTCTGAAGCAGCTAAATGGAGGAGTCACAATCCACACTTGGGTCTGTCTCACTCCACAACTCTACTTCCTTAACTATCTCAGGACACAGGTCATGGCCTGAAGACCACTACTGTTCTCATGAAGGGTAAAGTTACAAATTACAAATTAATTACAAATTACAATTAATTCTTAGCAGTATCTTTAAAACTGCTACTTTTCACTTGCTATGATAAATATCATCCTCAACTTTAGTTAAAATGTAAAAAAATCTCGGTGGGAATGTAAATTGGTACAGCCACCATGGAAAACAGTATGGTGGTTCCTCAAAAACAAACAAACAAACAAACAAACAAACAAACAAACTACCATGTGATTCAGCAATCTCACTTGTGGATTATCTATCAGAAGGAATCAGAATCACTATTTCACAAAGAAAACTGCACCCCCGTGCTCACTGCAGCATTATTTACAATAGCCAAGATAGAGAAACAACCTGTCCACTGAAATATGAATGGATAAAGAAAATGTGGTATATGTGTGTGCACACACGTTTGTGCATAAATGGAATATCTGGCCATAAAAAAGAAGGAAATTCTGACATTTGCAACAGCATGGGTGGACCTTGAGGGCATTATGCTAACTGAAATATATCAAATACTGTATGATTTCACTTATATGGAGAATCTAAAAAAAAAAATGAGCTCATAAATGCAGAGAACAGACTGGTGGTTGCCAGAGGTGGAGGTGTTGAAGGTTATCAAAAGGTATAAACTTCTAGTTATAAAATAAACAAGAAAAAAAGCAAGCAGAGAATGCATCTAGCATTTTCCTGTCCATTCATTAATAAAGAGAAACATACTCAACTCAGATAGAGCAAAACAAAGAAACAATTGCCTTAATGCCACATGCTAACCTAAAATATTTCCACACTAAACCATGGAAGTGAATCACCAGTGAATCCACTTTGTCCCAGGCTCTCACTGATGGTCTACTTTAAGGCAGTTACTTGCCCAGGGTTACCACATACATGTACATACATATGCACCTTGGCCAGGGTCCAGGGCCACAATGCATATAGGACAGGCAGTGCAGTGCCAGGCACAAGATAGGGGCTGAGAGGGTGAGTGATGAAGAATGCACTAGTAGATGGCAGCACTCCATGTCTGCACCCCAGGGAGGTCAGCCTCAGAGGGCTCGGATAATGAAGAACACCCTTTTTTATGCTGTGAATGATAGGAATGTATTCCCAGGAGGCCAGCCCTACAGGCCTCCCCCAGTTCTCCACTCACTTGTCACTGGAGATGCTGCAATCTATGACTGTTTTTCGGCTTGTATTTATGATTATAAATGGCAGCTGAATGGTGGAGTTCAGAGCTGGAGGACCCTGGTTCTGCTGTTCATTTTGCCGATTTCTCTGAACCAGGTTTTTGAAAGCGATTTGCTGTAATGATCAAGAAAAAGAATATGGTCATTTAATGTGGATAAGTGAGTTGGGAAATTTAGGACTTAAAAAAAAAACACAGTATACATTGTACAAAGATAAGCAGAGGAAAAAATATTCAACTTCCCTTAATGAAGGCTATCTAGGGGTATGAACATCCCCGCCTGTACGAGGGTGATCATGCCCAGCACCATTCTTTCTGATAAACAGGTAACTACAGGCATACTGATAAACAAGTTTTCTTAGTAACATTATGCCAAGAATCAGGCTCCAAAATGTTCCATGAGGATTTTGAGGAAATCCAAGAAAGGCTTGGCACAGAGGTGAGGGAGTGTGAGCTAGTGGGAAACCCTGTGGGGACAGGAACAGCAGGGGCAGGGGAGGGGAGCTTGGAAGGAAGTGAGAGCACGGATCAGAAGCCAGTGCCTGGCAGGCCAGGTTACAGAAGGCAGAATTCCACAGGGAGGAGCACAGGAAAAAACCATCAGCTTTCAAATTCTTCTAAGTGTTTTGTTTTATAAGCTGCAGAATACTCTTCAAACAAAACCTTATTTGGAAATCCAGTATGAAAAATACATAAAATGCTTGCTCTAGCACTAGCTCCTCAGGTAGGTCCTGCAGGGTTCAGAGTGAAAGCAGACACAGAACACAGCAAGGAAGAAAGTGGCGGCCTACTCAGGCGGAACATCACCTTTGGAGCTTGCCTGTGTTTGGGCAATCTCTGCTCTATCTGCTGCTACTTCTCTGCCCCTGGTCTACTTCCTTTCCTACTTCCTTCTCAGATCATACGGAGCTCTCTGCAAGGGCTAAATGCTCTTCTCTTGCTGCTGTGATTTACATATGAAGGTGAAATAAACAAAGAGAAGCATCTAGAAAGTGAAAAACAAAAATGTGGAATATTTAAGAATACCTAACCTATTCTGTCCATTAGACAAAGGGAGTGTTTTGGGAAAACACTGCTACAGTATTTGGTAACTTCATTGTTACCTTTATTTTTGAAAAGAGGGCTCATCTAAAAAATTAAATAGGATCTAACATTGTGAAATTAAAGTGGATTTTATGAGTGGTTGAAAGCTTTTCATATAAAAACAATTTGCTGATTAAAAAATAAAAAAGCATAAAGACCCTCTGGGCTCATTTTAAAAAGTGATTCTGATTGCACTGAAAATGACCCCAGTGTACTGCTCAAAGTGAATTTTTACAGCAACTACAACTACCAAAAATTTAAAAAAAAAAAAAAAAAAAAAAAGGCTATGTGATTTTACCTCAATGATTTCATACACTGGCTCTATTATATTTGAAAAACCATCCAAATTCCAGGCAATTATCCAAAACAGTATAAATATAGGGATCCTTATTACACTATAAAAGCTAATTTTCTTAAAAAGAAGTGCATTTTAACTTTTGGTATTTCTACAAAGTTTATTGAATCATTCATTACATATTGTTCTGTTATTTACAGATAATAAAAGTTATTACAGGTGGATTTGGTAATTTTACTCCAAGTGCCTGAAGTTTAATGAGCCTTACTTCTTGATATTCCAAATTAGGGCTAAAATAAACACACACAAAAGGACTTCTTATAGTTTCTGTTCAGAGTAAGAGTAAGTGTCAGAAGTAATGCATAATATAAATCATGCACAGGGTAGGTGACCTGTCATGGGGCCATGATGACGGTGAGAGACAATCATCGTAAAGGCAGACCATGGGTGGTGGTGGTGAGCTCAGATGTGGAGGAGGCTGCCCTAGTGCGGTCCCATCAGACACTACTCAAAAGGCAACCAAAGGAGAAAACACCAATGCTAAAAGCAAATAAATAGAATAGCAGAATATAGGTACCGAAAAGAATGAAAAACATCCCAGCTTCTTTACCTGCAGGAGAAGTTCTTGCAGCTGGGCCCGCTTCTGCTTTATCCGTTCTATCCTCCTCTGCTTCTCTATCTTTAAAACACAGGTTACAAAATAACATGAACATATGGAGAGTATAAAGTATTGCTCACTTTCCAGGTCCCCATTCTCAGATATCAAGAATTTTCCTTAGGGGTACATGGGTGGCTCAGTCCATTAAGTGTTCAATTCTTGGCTTCAGCTCAGGTCATGATCTTAAGAGCCTGCATTGGGCTCTGCACTCAGTGCGGAGTCTGCTTGGAATTCTCTCCTTCTCCATATCCTTCTGCCCCTCCCCCAGCTCATGCTCTGTGTTCTCTCTCTAAAATAAATAAATCAATCTTAAAAAAGGAATTTTCCTTAAAATTCAATCCATTTTAACAACCAATATCAATAAAGACATATCACACCTTTTTTTTTTTATTTTTTTATTTTTTTTATTTTTTTAATTTTTTTTTTAAAGATTTTATTTATTCATTTGACAGAGAGAGATCACAAGTAGGCAGAGAAGCAGGCAGAGAGAGAGGAGGAAGCAGGCTCCCTGCTGAGCAGAGAGCCCGACGCGGGGCTCGATCCCAGGACCCTGGGACCATGACCCGAGCCGAAAGCAGAGGCCTCAACCCACTGAGCCACCCAGGCGCCCCATATCACACCTTTTTGGGGAGCAGGGGTTGGGGTATGCAAGTAGGCATGATAGCAGAATTGTGGTAACTCTTATTATTAATGAAACCCATCCACTTAATAAATACTTGATATGCAGTACTTGTTGCTATTTTCAAATTCTAATCAAAGTAATAGCTAACACTTAATGAATACTTACTCTGTGTGCCAGCAACTCAACTAAGCACTTTATACACACATTATCTTTTTTTCCCTCCCTACACACATTATCTTAAGGCATCTTCTTAAGACCCTAGGAGGTGAGAACTGTTGTTACCCATTTTCCATGTAATGAAATGGAGGCATACAGGGTTAAGTAACGGCCCAAGGTCACATAGCTAGTGAAGGGCAAGAGTCAGGATTTGAACCTAAGCCATCTGGTTCCAGAGACTTTACTATTAATTACTTTCTTATATTACCCCCAACCCAAAGAATGCAGTAAGATCTCATTTAAGATTTCAGTTTAACTGACTTTTAAATAGGCATATCTCCTAATACAGAGAGAGCCTACATATTCAATACACAATTTCTACTTGTAGAGTAAGGAACATGCTTATGGGACAAATTTCCCAGCTTCACAAAACTATTACTTAATAGTTAACTTAATAACTAAATAGTTAGTAGGGTCTGAATTTCCTTGTAGATGAGTTCCTCACTGTGTCTTTGGGCAAAAGTGAGTAACATCAAACATGACATTTTTCTTGTCAACTCTAACAGTGTTTCTTATTTGCTCCCCATCTACTCCAGTCTGAACCAAGAGTTTCTTCTCATTTTTTATCTAACCACTAAAACACTTTCATCTTAAATTACTTAAGATTCACTAGAAAAATCTATGTGGCTTTCTAAATTTGAAAAGAGTTTCCCCCCTGTATCTGCAGCTGTGACAGGCCAGGCCCCTACCTGTCCCTCATACCCCCATTTAACACCAAGCCAAGTTCTATCAATTCTACCTGTAAAACACCTCTCCAACCTCATGACACTGACTTAACTCAGACCATCTCCAAGCCACCCCCTCAATTTCCCTCCTCATCTTCCTGTTAGTTCAACTTCCAACCTCACTAGGAGGATGATCCCTTGAATATGTCCCATCAGTCTTCCTCTTTATATTCAAAAGCTTCCCACTGTTTCCAGGATCAGGTCCTCAAAGCTTCACACTTAGAAATCCATCCCCTTTAGCCCTGCCTGTACTCTGGTCACACCCAGCTGTGTACATGCTTTCTTATGTCTGCCTCTGGAAGGCCCCCTGCCCTAAACCACTGGGCAAACGCCTACACCTCCCTCATCACTGAGCTCAAGGAATTGTTTCTTTTCTTGGTAAAGCCCTCCTTCATCTCCCTTTCCAGAGCATCTGTATATATGTCTTTCACAGGAATAACTGACCACAGTTTTGGTAACTTCTTTTACATTTTTCCTTTCCTCAATTAGAATGAGAGCTCCTGGGGTCAGAGATTCTGTCTTGTATAATCTTTGGGTACACACACAGTAACTGCTAATAGATTTCTGCTTGTTGAGGCTTTGTTATCAGCTTACTATTACTGGTAATAAAAATGATCCTTGGGATACCTGGGTGGCTCACTAAGTTAAGTGTCCGCCTTTAGCTCAGGTCACGATCTCAGAGTCCTGGGATCTAGTCCCAAATTCAGCTCCTTGCTCAGCAGGGAGACTGGTTCTCCCTCTGCCTGCCACTTTCTCTCTCGACAAATGAATAAAATCTTTAAAAAAAATTAGAGAAAAAACTTAAAAAAAAATCCTCAAATTCTACTCTATCAGGAGAAAAGGAGGTCATTTCCATGGTAGCATATGAATAACATTCTATAACCATTTTTTTTGTTCAAAGATTTTATTTATTTGAGAGAGAGAGCATGAGTGGAGGGGAGGGGGCAGAGGCAGAAGCAGACCCTCCCCACTAAGTAGGGAGCCCAACGTGGGATCCTGGGATCAAGACCTGAGCTGAAGGCAAATGCTTAACTGACTGAGCCACTCAGGCACCCCAACATTCTACAGCTCCTGATGAATGTCTGATTTCTCCCTCCATCCACAAGGGCAGTAATATCAAATAAGTTTTGATTTGCTGAGGGGAAAAAGGACTAATAAAAACATGAAACCAACCATATTTATTGCCAGAAACTATATTTAACCTTAGTGTATTCCATTTATGGCCATGAGAGTACAATTATGTCAAATCAATTTAAAACCAGTAGGTCAGGGCACATGCTCATATAGGAAAGATTTTCTGTAATGATTAAAGTTAATGGAATAAAAAATGTTTTTGCATATAGCATCCCAAAATCATGTACACTGAACATTCTATCCTTTCTGATAAAGACACAGATGAAATACCATTCTGTTGCCACAGATGCGAGAATCAAGGACAAAAGTTTAAACACTAAAAGTAAACAGCCAGTTTGATCCTTTTTTTTTGGGGGGGGGGGATCCATACAGCAATCATTTCATCAAATAACATATTATTTCTATTTATGAGTTGTTAAAAATTTATTATTAGAGTGTTCACAATTAAACTAGAATAAAATACCTTTTCTAAGAAATTTCTATGTCTCTCATTAGTCAACTAAATACCTTTCTAAATCTCCTTCCAGTTCTAAAATTCAACAAAGAGTCTGACAAAAAAAATAGTATACATGAACAATTAGAAATATTTTAATATTATATGTATTCCTAAATTAAAATGCCTCTTATAGAGGTGCCTGGTTGGCTGAGTCCGCTAAGTGTCTGCCTTCGGCTCAGGTCATGATGCCAGCCAGGGTCTTGGGATGGAACCCTGTGTCAGGCTCCCTGCTCAGTGGGGAGTCTACTTCTCTCTCTCCCTCTGCCACTCCTCCTGCTTGTGCTCTCTAATAAATAATTAAAATCTTTAAAAATAAAATAAAATAAAATAAAATGCCTCTTATGTAAAATAGAACAAACTACTATCTAAAAACAGATTTTTCCACTTACCTCAAGATTTTGACATTCCTGAGCAGAATTGGTAGGCAGGCCAATCCACTTGATTTCTTTTTTTTCCTTTGAAATTATGTTCATTGCCATTAACACATTTAAAGCATCATAAACTCTTCTCCTAATATTCTTCTGGTCATAAGCCTGCTAAAAAATATTTTTAATGAGTGATAAATTTCAAGGCTTAAGATACAGTCACAGGATATTAGGATATTTAATTAATATTATTATTATAATATCTTAGGAGTGTTTAAAGAATTCTTTTTTTTTAATAAAATATTTTATTTGTTTATTTGACAGAGAGAGATCACAAGTAGGCAGAGAGGCAGGCAGAGAGAGAGAGTGGGAAACGGGCCCCCTGATGAGCAGAGAGCCTGATGTGGGGCTCTGTCCCAGGACCCTGAGATCATGACCCGAGCCAAAGGCAGTAGTTTAACCCACTGAGCCACCCAGGCGCCCCTGTTTAAAGAATTCTATACCCAGTGAAAATATCCTTCAAAAGTAAGGATGAGATAAAGATACTTTCAAACAATCTAAAACATAAAACATTCTAAAAAATAAAGATTACATTAGCAACAGATCTAAATTAAAAAATATTAAAGGGCATTCTTCAGATAGAAGAAAGATGGATGGGATACAAGGTAGAAGTTTGGAGATGTAGGATGGAATGAAGACCAACATGAAAGACAAATATGTGGGTATATTTCAAATAACACTCACTTTATAAAATAATAATGTCTTGTGGAGTCAAGAATATAGAACTAACATATGTGACAACAGTATATATCAGAAAGGGATAATGGAGGTATTAATTAAAGTGGGCTAAAACCCTGCATTGTCTGGGAGGATATTATAAGACTTTGAAAAGTCAAGGATGCATGTTTTAGTTAGGTAAAACAGTGCTTTTCAAGTATGTGGTCCAAGGACTAGTGCTGATCTGAAAACTGTTAATGTTTCTACAATGAAAATAGGGAACTTGCACCAAAATGTCACCACACAGATCACTAAAATACATTGTTTATTTCAGCTGATTTTTTTTTTTTTTAAGCAAGATTTTTCTCAATGAAGGAGACTGTGTTAACTTAGATTGTGGAAAGAAAAAAACCCGCATTTTATTGTGGACAAGCAGTTCCTATGAAAAATCCAATCAACCAAATGCCGTGATATTAATGGATGGTCGAGAAAACTGAATACAGAAACTAAACTTGAAGGGAGAAACTGAAGTTACAGAAGTGAATGTAAATATTAGAAATCCTGACCCTGTAGAAATAATGATAATATAATAAAAAATATCAGGAGACAAACCGAAGTAGGCCTGCTGAGTGAGGTTCTCTTTGATATTTAAAGGGGCATGGGATCCAAAGCAGACGAACTATTCAAACAGATGAAGTACATTAATAATAAAGGTTTTGGCACAACATATTTATTTAAAGTCATAACAACAACTATAATAATATTATTCTTTTAACAACTACCACTAATATATTCAATCTGAATTTGTGCTGAACAGGAAAGATGGGAGATGCAAGTAAATACAAGCATATTAATTTTTTTCCTTCATAACCAACAGATACTGGTTTTATAGGTGACAACAAACAAAGGAAACAAAATAATGAAGTTACTTAAAGTTATAAAGATAACCAATTAAATAACTAAAAGAACAAACCTTCCAATTTATTAAAACAAACAAAAAAAATCCCCCACACAGCAGGGGAATAGGAAGAAAAACCCCCCAAACTTGTATCCAGGGATGGGGTTGGGGGTGGTTAGTAAAAATGTATGTTAGATGATGAAATGTACTAAGAAATGCCTCAGTACAGAGACATCTGAGTGAAAACTGGAGGGGAGAGAGAAACCGTATGGCTCCTTAGCAGAGATTCACACAAAGGAAATAGTGAGTTTAACAGCCTGATAAGGAACATATCCGGCATATTCACTCCAAAACAAAAAACAAAAAAACCCCACCAGTCTCATTCATGATCATCAGTGTGAAACTCCTACTAAATTTTCAGGAAACTATACAGAATTTGATTAAATTCAATATCCATTTCTGATATTTTTAATTAAGAAAAATGAAAGAAATGTTCATTTAAAAAGATCAAATTATGGTTGCTATCATTTCAAAATATAATCTTTATCATAAGGTGGCTAGAGTGTAGTAACAGGGAGAGTGCATAGCAGGAGACGAGATTGGAGAGGTAATGGTGGGCCAGGTCATATGGAGACTTGTAGAACATTTTTGAGAACTTCCACTTTCACTCAGAATCAGAATGTTACGTACCTTCTCTACAGTTGCCAGAGAAAAGAATGACTCACAAGAAAAAACTCAAAGCAACCCCCCAAAATATAAATAATTCAACTCACGATCTCTGATCACAGCTAATGAAAAACAGTAAAAAGTAAAAACCCAGAAAAACAAACAAAAATCCCTATCATCAGGAACTATAAAAACTCTAATGCCATTCTTAGGTCAGAGAGGAAATGAAAACCAATGTTGCAGAATATTTAAAGAATAACATTATATCAGAATCAATGGGAAATGGCTAAAGCAGTGAACGAGAGGAAAAGTTGTAGCTAGGAAGATTTTAATTACTGAACAAAATAATAAAAGTAAAGTATACATCATAGTCTATAGAATAGAAAAATAACAGAAGTAACTTCAGGAAAGAGAATATTAAATGAAGATAAAAGGGGTGCCCGAGTGGCTCAGTTGGTTAAGCGTCTGCCTTCGGCTCAGATCATGATCCCAGTGTTTTGGGATTGAGCCCCACATTGCGGGGAGCCTGCTTCTCCCCTCCCTCTGCTTGGGTGCTCCTGCTCTCTGTCAAATAAATAAATAAATAAAAATTTTAAAGAAAAATGAAGATTAAAAAAAGAAATTAACTGCAAAACAGGAGGGTCAATATAGATCTAAGAAATGGTTATTTGAGAAAAATAATTGCAAATAATTTTGAGAACAGGTATGAAATAGAGGATTTTCTAAGAAAACATAAAATACCAAACTGACTCTAAGGGAGACAGAAATTCTAAACAGACTACTTACCAAAGAAAAAATGGAGAATACTATTTAAGCTTTACCCCCCACCAAATCGACAGGCCTAGATGGTGTCACAGGTGATTTCTATAACATGTCAGGGAAGAGAAATATACAACCCATGCTATTTAACCTGTAATGGAGTAAAGAGGAATAAGGAGGAAAAAAGCCTCTAAATTTTAAAAAACCAGCATTAACACTGCAAATCAAAACTGCAAAGATGGTAAAAAAAAAAAAAAAAATCCCACCAATCTCATTTGTGTCAGTGTAAAACTACTCAGTTTTCAGGAAAGTATACAGAATTTGATTAAATTCAGTATCCATTTCTGATTTTTTTTTTTAGTTAAGAAAGAAACTGGGATTGAGCCCTGCATCGGGCTCTCTGCTCATCGGGGAGCCTGCTTCCTCCTCTCTCTCTAACTGCCTCTCTGCCTACTTGTGATCTCTGTCAAATAAATAAATAAAATCTTTAAAAAAAAAATCAAATTATGGTTGCTATCATCTCAAAAATAAAACCTTTGTCATAATTAAGGTTGGAAGACTATAACTATTTCCACTAAGGTCAAGAACTGTTATAAAAATTGTTGTGGGGGAAAAAAAGAATTTTTGTGGAGTACATATAATATGATTACATTTAAATAAAATGCTAATTGACCTATAATGATAAAAAGCAGATCAAAGGTTGCCTAGGGATAGAGGGAGAGGGAGGGACAGATGACAAAAGGCGGAAAGAACCTTCTGGAAGTGACAGAACTGTTCTTTATTGCTCTCTAAAATAAATAAATAAAATCTTTAAAAAATAAAAAAGGAAATAAATTTTATTATATATATGCATAAGGAATTTGGGGGATGATACTCAAGAATCTCAAGAACAGTGAATATACCTTTGGGGAAACAGATTAAGGTCTTGGTAAGGAGATATTGTGGGGCACGTGGGTGGCTCAGTCAGTTAAACATTTGCCTTTGACTCAGGTCATCATCTCAGGGTCCTGGGATTAAGCCCTAGGTCAGGCTCCCTGCTTAGTGGGAAGCATGCTTCTCCCTCTTACTCTGTAGCTACCCCTGCTTGTGCGCTCTCAAATAAAAATAAATAAATAAATAAAAATAAATAAAATCTTTAAAAAGAAAAAGAGAGAGGCTTTTTATTGTACACTCTTTGGTAAAACTGAATTTTTAAAGACACATTCATACATTATTTTTCAATTAAAAACAAGATAAATTTTTCAAATTGACTTAGATATAGAAGAAACATTAATGAATTCAGAAACACATCCCAAGTCATTCAAATATAAAAAGTATGTTTAAGAAAAGTATATTCCTGGGCACTCAGGTGGCTGAGCCAGTTAAGCGTCTGCCTTCGGCTCACGTCATCATCTCAAGGTCCTAGGATGGAGCCCCGAGTTAGGCTCCCTGCTCTGCAGGGAGTCTGCTTCTCCCTCTCCCTCTTTCAAATAAATAAAATCTTTTTTTTTTTTTTTAAAGATTTTATTTATTTATTTGACAGAGAGAGAGAGATCACAAGTAGGCAGAGAGGCAGGCAGAGAGAGGGGGAAGCAGGCTCACTGCTGAGCAGAGAGCCCGATGCGGGGCTCGATCCCAGGACCCTGAGATCATGACCTGAGCCGAAGGCAGAGGCTTAACCCACTGAGCCACCCAGGCGCACCTCAAATAAATAAAATCTTAAAAAAAAACAAAAAACAAAAAAAAACAGTATGTTCCTTTTGTAGCCCCCCAAAGTAGATTTTTAAAAATATTTGTTAATCTTTATGTTTAAATATATAATAAAAGAACGCTTTCAAAAACAAAACTAACAAAAACTCAACAACAAAAGAATTCCCCAATCGGTAATATGAAACCCTCAGGTAAAGGAGTAGGGGATTCCCCAGCTTGTCTGAGTCCTTAAAAAATGACAGTCAACCCAGAGATATACTATTTTGTCGTTCCAGTCAAAGTCACGTGCATGATGTACCTACCGAATCAGCGGCCAAATGGTTATTTGAATTGGTGAACTCTGATACCAGCTCATCAGCCACTTCATTATATGACGTTGTACCTTTCCGCTGAACTTTCTCACACACTTTCATGGAAAAATGTCTCAAGCCTTTTCCATTTTTATCTCCTTTTTTGCTTCGTTTACTAAAAGAGAAAAAAGTACATATTTATATACTAGACTTCCTTTATAAAACTAATGGGAGAATATAGTAATTTGATTCCTGCTTTAAGTGGTAAATTTTAAATTGAATTCGAATGAAAAAATGTTTTAAACTTAATTTTTGCCTTAAAGCAAAATAAAGTATGAAGTTGAGTGTTTTCTATACACATCATTCATTTATTCAATAAATATTTACTGACCAGTTACTTACTATTATGTGCAAGGTACTATTCTACATACTGGGAATAAATCCATGAGAAGAACAGACAAAAACACTGCCCTGGTAGTTACATATTTACCTTTTTTGTATTCTGTGTGTGCCACAGTTCTTTTTCACGTAAAATTAAAAGTACCACTATTCTCAGTTTCATTTATCTACTCAAATTTCAAACAGAGGTCATTGGTATTAATAAAAGATCTAAGTCTTCAATTATTTTAACTTTGGTTAATGCTTAGTCCTAAACTCTGATAACTTACTCCATTTTCAGGGGTTCAATTTAGTTCTACCAATTTCTGAGTGCCAACTGTATGCCAAGAACTGCAGTAGGAACTAGAATACAAAAATGACAACTGAGGCAAAATCCTTTCCCTTAGTATGAATCTCATTGGGGGGGTGGGGGGAAGACAGTGGAGAACAAATCAGACCTATAAGGACAGACAGTTCCAATGTAGTAAGGTTAAGTGCCAAGACAAAGTTATTTACAAGTTCATGGGAACTGAGAAGAGGGACATCTTATCTAACTTAGAGGAGAAAGATTTGCTGGAATAAGAGCCAAGTGAAAACAATCAACAAAATGAAAAGGCAACCTATGGAATGGGAGAAAATATTTACAAACCCTTTATCTGACAGGGGGTTAATAGCCAAAATAGCTAAGGAACTCCAACAACTCATTAACAAAAAACCCCCAAATAACCCAATTAAAAATAGGCAAAAGTCATAGAAGTTTCTCCCAAGAGAACAAACAAATGGCCAACAGGTGTATGAAAAGGTGCTCAACATCACTAATCATTAGAGAAATGCAAATCAAAACCACAATGAGGTATTACCCTCACATCTGTTAGGATGGCTATTAAAAAATAAAGCAAAACAAACAAGATAAGCACTGGTGAAAATGTGGAGAAATTAGAACCCTGGTACACTGTTGGTGGGAATGGAAAATGGTACAGTCGCTATGAAAAAAATATGGAGGCTCTCAAAATATTTAAAATAGAATTTCCAGGGGTGCCTGGGTGGCTCAGTGGGTTGGGCCTCTGCGTTCGGCTCAGGTCATGATCTCAGGGTCCTGGGATTGAGCCCCACATCGGGCTCTCTGCTTAGTGGGGAGCCTGCTCCCCTCTGCCGCCGCCTGCCTCTCTGCCTACTTGTGATCTCTCTCTCTGTGTCAAATAAATAAATAAAATCTTTTAAAATAAACAAACAAACAAACAAATAAAATAGAATTTCCATATGGTCCAGTGATCCCGTTTCTGGGTATATATCCGAAAGAACTGAAATCAGGATCTCAAAGAGGTATCTGCACTCTCGTGTTCATTGAGCATTATTCACAATAGCCAAGAAATGGAACTAACCTAATGTCCATAGGCAGATAAAAGGATTTAAAAATGTGGCATATACCTACAATGGAATATTATTTGGCCCTAAAAGAGAATAAAATCCTGCCATATGTGACAACATGGATGAAGCTGGAGGACATTATAGCCAATCGCAGAAGGACAAATAATGCATATCTCACTTATATAAGGTATGTAAAACAGTCAAACACGTAGAAGCAAAGAGTAGAATGATGCTTGCCAGCGCCCCCAGGGAAAGGGAAAACAAGGAATTGCTCAACACATTCAATGAAGTTTCAGTTAGGCAAGAAGAGCAAGTTCTAGATTCTGCTATACAACATAGTACGTATGGTTAATGATAATGTACACTTAAAAAAGTTGTTGGAGGTAAATCTCGTAAGTGTTTTCACCGCCGCCACCACCAAAAGAGAACTGTCAAGTGAAGGAAGTTAGTAAGGGCAACTAGGCAGAAGCAGCAGCAGTACACACATGGGAGAGTGCAACAGATGATAAATGTTCAGAGACTTAGAAACAAACAGTGCAGTATTACCAGAAGATAAAGTACAAGGCAAAAGATGAACCAGAAAGGGAAACAAGGGGCCAGGCCCATAAATGCCATGCAAATGAACCTGTACTTTATCACCTTTAGTATAATTATATTCACTTACAAATTATTTACACATTTGGAGTGCCTGGGTGGTTCAGTCATTAAACATCTGCCTTCAGCTCAGGTTATGATCCCAGGGTCCTGGGATCGAGCCCCACATCGGGCTCCCTGCTCAGCGGGAAGCCTGCTTCTCGCTCTCCCATTCTCCCTGCTTGTGTTCCTTCTCTCATTGTGTCTCTGTCAAATAAATAAATAAAATCCTTTTTTTTTTTTTAAGATTTTATTTATTTATTTGACAGAGAGATCACAAGTAGGCAGAGAGGCAGGCGAGAGAGAGGGAGAAGCAGGCTCCCTGTCGAGCAGAGAGCCCAATGCGGGGCTCAATCCCAGGACCCTGGGATCATGACCTGAGCTGAAGGCAGAGGCTTAACCCACTGAGCCACCCAGGCTCCCCAATAAATAAAATCTTTAAAAAAAAATCATTTACACATTCTACTGTCTTATATACATTAAGAAACAGACTAAATGTACTTTTTAAAAGAATGAAGGACAGATACCTACTTTCTTTTTTTAATTTTTATTTATATCTATTTATTTATTTTTAAGGATTTTATTTATCCATTTGAGAGAGAGTGTGAGAGACAGCATGAGAAGGGAGAAGGTCAGAGGGAGAAGCAGACTCCCTGGAGCTGGGAGCCTGATGCAGGACTCAATCCTGGGACTCTCGGGGTCATGACTTGTGCTGAAGGCAGTCACTCAACCGAATGAGCCACCCAGGAGCCCTAGATATCTTTCTTTTTCCCCACATTCCCAAAGAATCACCTGTGGTCACAGACTACTACTACTATTACCACTAACTACTACTACTACTACTACTACTACTGAAATACTGGGAAGCCACTAAAGGTAACATGGTAAAATTGTCAGTCAGGCAGAGATTCTGGCTGCAAAGTAGAAAATGCCATTTATGAGGCGACAAAAGCAGAGACCAGATGAGAGGTAAGCCTAGGAAGAAATATCGACTCTTGAAATTGGGGCAACTAGATAAGTAGGGTTGAATAAAAAGAGATGGATTTGTGTAAATTTTAAAGATGAACATTTATTTTTATCTTTACTAAGTGACTGGTTGATACGAATGTTAAGAAAGAGGGAAGTGAGAGAACGACTCTTAGAAAGGGGGTCATTTATTGAGATCCAGGAGACAGGAACACAGTCATGAGCTGCATTTTAAGCCTCCTCATCCACATGGTCCAATACCTAGGTATGATCCGCATGTAGCTATCGAGCACATGAAATCTGGGAAGCCTAAATTAAGATGACTTCACTGAATTTCCAAGACTTGTATGAGAAATGAATGTTAAATACCTCATGGATATTTTTTACACTAATTACATGTTGAAATATATTTTAGATATATTAGATTAAATAAGAGATATAAAAATTAATTTCAGGGGCGCCTGGCTGGCTCAGTTGGTAGAGCACGCTGACTCTTGATCTTGCACTGGGAAAGTGAGCCCCATTCTGGGTGAGGAGATTACTTAAAAATAAAATCTAAAAAATAAAAACAAATGTGAAATTAATTTTAAAACTGGCTATTAGAAAATTAAAAATTACATGTGCCTTGCATTACATTTTTTTTGGTCAGCAATAATATTGAATTTGACATGTCAGTGGAATAGCCCAACAGGTATAATCAATAGATAATCAAAGATGTAAGTCTCACTTTTAAGTGAGCTTATAGGACAGGTCACTTCCAAACTCATCAGCATGTGTACCCATGCCAACCTTCTTCCTAGAAGTCTTAGAGGATGAGGTATCCCTCTTTGTTATTAAATCTAACTTCCTTTTTTATTTTATTTTTTAGAAAGATTATTTATTTATTTATTTGACAGACAGAGATCATGAGTAGGCAGAGAGGCAGGCAGGCAGAGAAGGGAAGCAGGGTCCCCGCCGAGCAGAGAGCCCGATGTGGGGCTTGATCCCAGGACCCCGAGATCATGACCTGAGCTGAAGGCAGAAGCTTCAACCCACTGAGCCACCCAGGCACCTCTAACTTCCTCTTTTAAGGTAACAGCTTTATTGAAATATAATTCACATACTGTAAGCTCTATTTTTTAAAGTATACAATTCAGCAGCAACCATCAGCACAATCTAATTTCTTCACCCTAAAGAGAAACCCTGCACCCACTGACAATCATGCCTCATTCTCCCAGACCCTCTTCCTTCTTTTTCTCCTCTCTCTCTCTCCTTTCTTCCTTCTTCACTTCTCCCTCTCCCCTTTCCTCCGTCCCTCTAAGCAGGTTTCACGCCCAGTGTGATACCCAATGTGGGGCCTTAACTCATGACCCTGAGATCAAGACCTGAGCTGAGATCAAGAGTTGGATGCTCAACTGACTGAGCCACCCAGGCACCCCCAGAGTCAACTTTTCAACCTGAAAATTTCACTCCAGTGCTTCTATTTCTGTATTGTTTGCTCTTCTTGAGCTGTTCTATCCAGTGTTTTGTTTTTAATATATAACTTTATTTTGAAACTGGAATCTGATCCAGACTCTAGATCCAATTTACCACAATAAAGGAAATAGCAAGGACAGAATAACACATTAAACTATACTACAGGGATTCAATAAGCAAATTCTTTAGGCTTTTCCTTTAGGATATATAATGTGGTTTCTTCAACTCAAAATTGTAGTGGGAATAAAGGAGGGAGGGAGGGAGGGAAAAAGAGAGTGAAGGGGGAAAATAATAACAAGGGGAATCTACAGATTTTCTAAGACATATAAATTTATTTAAATCCTGATTCAAATAAAACACATACACACAGACGTG